ATCTCCCATTTTGTCTTGATGGCTGCCTTGAAGATCTCCTTTGTAGTTTCATCCTTCAGTTTCCGAGTGTTGTACTTGAATTGAGGTCTATCACCAGCTTCCTTGAAGGCTTTTAACTTGATTTGGAAGGCAGGTTCCTTGCACTAGATATTGGTCTGAACTTACATCTGCTCCTCTTCTTGACCTTGTGTTAAGTAGACTGCGTCTCCATTTTCTTGAGATTGAGATGAAGTCGATCTGATTTTTAGTGTGTCCATCTGGTGAAATCCATGTCGCTCGCTTTGTGGATATCTTTGTGCCTGAACACACTGCCTCCAATCACCAAATCGTTGAATGCGCACAATTCTGCAAACAATTCTCCATTCTCATTCATTTCACCTAGCGCCTCTCGACCCATGGTTAGTTCTCTTCCTGTGTTGTCCACACCCAGTTTGGCATTCATGTCGCCCATTAGAATTTTGATATCGCCAACTGACGCCTTGTCCAGTGTTGATTGAAGTTGTCTGTAGAAATCCTCCTTTTTCTCTTGCTCTGCATTATTTGTAGGTGCATAACATTGTATGATTGTGACCTTTCTTCCTTTTGAGTTGAATCTTGCTGTCATGATCCTGATGCTGGAGGAGATTGGTTCTCACTGCATGAGAGCCTTCGATGCTCTTGAGGACATCATGATAGCCACTCCATAACTCAGTGTGCTCGTGGTTGTCGTCTTGATGACAATATCGGAGTAGATTATTGATTCTGCAGTTGACAGTTTGGAGAGTCCACTCTCATTCCATCTGTTTTCGCAAATTCCAAGCACTTCGATGTGATACCTTCTCATCTCCTTTGCATTCTGGGCTGCCTTGCTGGGTTCAAACATGGTGCGGACATTCCATGTCCCCACGTTTACTTTCGCTTTCATCGAGAGAAGACACATCGGCCAACTGGCTTCCCGAAGGCTTTCACCAACTGGCATCATTTCGCCTCTCCGATTCCAGCGAGGAATAAGTTTGTTTTCATTTTTGATATTTTGTTTGTGCTTTGAAGTTTCTTTAGCGGTTAGATTTGTTTTACGGGGTAGGGTTTCTAGCCCTATGCCCAAGGTTCCCTGTTTACCCGAGCTTAGGACCGGCTAGTAACTAGTGAACTAGTTAACCAGGCGAGGCTCACTTTGGAGAATAGACCCTTCATATCAACGATTGAAAGTTTTCTACTGTACAAAAAACAAGCGGACAATGCTTTTATCCTTTGTGATAATCAATATGCTTTGAATCACACTCTACAAACATTCAACAGCTCCACCCTTCAGTTGGAAAATCCACTTTCTTGATGTAGAACTGACAAGAACAGTTGATGGAATGTTAAAAAGATCAATTCACAGAAAATCAATGTGGAATGGTCAACTGTTGAACTTTAATATTTGGGTACCCGTGAGTTGGAAACGGAATTTGATCATATGTCTTCCTACTGGGATTAGATGAATGTGTAGTCCCAATGCTACGGAAGAGGAGATTTTTGTACTAAGTAACATCCTGATTGAAAATGGATCCCCACCACGCTTCATAGAAAAGAAATATATCAAGCCTAAACCTCACTAAGAGAACCCTACCATGTTGTGGAAATAAAACTTTATATGAGTCCAGAATTCGAAGGTGATTTCGTCGCTGACAGTGTGAAGAAGCGGATATGGAACTGTCTAAGGAAAAGATTCTTTGAGTATCAACGCTGAGACTAATATACTCTTGTCACCCAGTGAATTCTAACAGCTCAAAGGATAAATTCTTACACCTGACCACTTTTATTTGCGCATATCAATTCATCTAATCAATTCACCCATCGGGTTCTACGATCTCCCGTCTATACGGTCTGCCCAAAATACACACAGAAGGCATTCCACTCCGTGTGCATATCATTTAATCACGAAATGACTTGTGGAAATACTGGAACCTGTAAAGAAGAGGCTATTGAAGCACAGTCTCCGTGATACATTTGATTTTTTTGACTCCATAAAGAGTGTCACTTAGGCAGGTAAAAGAATGATTTCATTGGATGTCGTGTCCCTCTTCACAAATGTCCCACTGACAGAAACCATCTATCTACTTCCTATGTGAAATCATTCAATGTCATAATATATATGTTGGTAAACCAATTCACTACTTAAAATAGCTTCTCCTTCGATGTACACTTTAGATTTAATAATGAGATCTACAGGCAGATAGATGATGTGGCGATGGTTTCTTCGCTAGGACGTCTAATAGCTGACTGCTTCATGATAAGCCTGGAAAACATCAATTTATCATCAACAACCAATGAACTCCATGTCGACAAAAAATACATGGATGATGCGTTTATCGTTTATGATGAAAATATGAATCTTGTAAACTTGCTTCATACACTCAACAACGACCACCCTCCAACTAAATTCACTCCAGCATCACAATTAAACTCATCCATCCATTTTCTTAATGTTCAACTCCAAAGAAAAGACGATAATTCACTTCGTTGATAGATCGACAGAAGGCCTATGTGGAACGGACAATTTGTCAATTTTCAAAGTTCAGTCCCTCTATGCACGAAAAGATATCTTATTCATTCACCCTCCTCGACGATCAGGAAAATATGTACTGAGGACACGGTTGACGGAGAACTGTAAATACTTCGACGAACTCTTTCGGAAAACGGGTTCCCACTCACATTCATACATAAGAACACAAAGCCAAAGAACCAAACTGAATGAATACATTTGACACCGAAAAAGATTCTTTCATTCAATCTGGAATTCAGAAATGATATTGCTGCCAGAGATCCTCACGAAACGACTGTCACAATGCTCAAACACAACATACTTTCCCACCAACCTTCAGATCATCTTCTCCATGAAGAAACTTCCTGGTCAATGTGTGAAAGACAAGCCCGACGTGTTGGGCCACATCAATGTGTGTATACCAGTCTACTTCCTCTTGTGGAACTGAGTACATCAGCCGTACCATGTGTCCGCTTGTAAAACGTGACAGAGAACACCACCCAGCCTGGCTGGCAAAGGGAGAACGGAAATATATCTTCAGTTCAGTAACAGAACACCTCGTGAACTCGGACCACTCAGCCCCTTTCCAGAACTCATTCAAAATTCTCGACACGGTTCGATCAAACCACTCGAAGGAAGTAAGATCAAGGAACTTGTCTATAGCTGAAGTACTAAGCATCCAGAGGTTCAAACCAGAGTTACGCGTCTAAAGAACGTGTGTCCAACCATCATCTTTGTCATTATAAAGCTTTGACTGTCATAGTTTCATTTCGTACCAGGTAACTATACATGCATTCCCTTCATACCTCATCCATTTTCCCACTCTGTCATGGATTTAACCTCCACTAAGTAATTACAATCTTGTTTTTATAATCACCTGTTTATTTTCTTGCTGTCATTGGTCTATCCGTTATTACATAATTGCAAGTTTATTTTCATAACCCTCACCTTCCCTACTTTGCCATACATCCATCCTGTGTTACGTAGTTACATTTAATTTCATAATCCCTTATCTATTTTCCCACTTTAAACGCAAATATGTATTCATTAACTTCCTTTAGTTACATTGAATATATTGTGGAACATTTCGCTCACTGTAACATGTATTCAAGAATGTACAGCATAGTAAATGACTTTATCGAAGAGAAGATATTTCTTTAGTGTAACCACGTCTTATCTTTTCCTGTAATTCACTTGCTCTTATGGAGTCAGACATACAGGTCGTTCGATGCGACTGTTATCCTAAAAGGTTAAGAAGTGCTATCCCGTGTGGTTACAAAGAGGTGACCAAAGAGTGATAAAAAGTGCTATAACTGAGCACATCGTGAACATATGTCACTCTATCTCAAGAACCATCTTGAGAGAAGGGTATGACAGGTCGGGCCAAGATGTGGTACCAATAAGTGAAGTCATTGACTGTTGGTTTGAGTTGTGTAGACTACCTAGTTGGGGCTGCCGAGACCATGAGAATCAGCGGTTGAATCCTGAAAGATATGGCTGAATATTTGTGACATCGGAGTAGATGTGTCCACCCTTTGACGTCGTTTAAAACTAGAATGTTTGGATTGACTTAAATTTTTAAATACCTTCTCCTCATATACACCTTTTTTCCCTTTGATATTAATTTTCTTCTATTCACCAGTTCTTGGTTCGGTACTTTAAGGTGTGGCAAGTTAAACCGATGCATCGAGTTATCTATCACTGATATTCAACAAACATATGAATTTCAATGCAGCAGAAATCAGGTACAATTATTAGGTGACTGCTAATGATACCACTATGTTGTTAGACGTTACCAAGCGAAGTGGTTCACTTGTTCAGAGTTGACCATCCAGACCAATTGAACCACAGTTCTACTCTTCGGAACAGCTGGATATAATTCATACATACTATTAAATGGTAAGGATCAATATCCTTTAGTGAAAACCGTACCATCTCCCAAATAACTTAGTAACAGTTCACAATTTGTGGCTGCCTAGTTTCCAAATATATCACGCATTTCGTTAGGAATTCAATAGTCCATTACTCAGTCTTCTTAATAGGCGGTAGTCAGTTTATCTTAGCTTTAAGAGATAAATAAAACTCCAGAGTTGGCAATCTATCATTTTAGTCTTGTAAACATTCATCACTAAATCGTGTTTATCAGTCAATCAACAATACAACTGATCGCAAATTGTTTTTAATATCTCATAGGAAGTGGCCTAAATAGAAATCAACATTTTAAGTCATCTGCCGCTAAGATGATCAGGAAAAACCTTATTGGACAATTTTGTCCTACAGCCGACCAATCAAAATACACATCCAACTTTTGACCATGAAAACTGCTGTATATAAACGATGCATTTTTGTTCATTAGTGTCACAAATCAGTCTTTGTCATCTGATTTTCGCGGTTCAGTGAAGGAAAAAAAACCGTCGTTACCTAGTCCAAGTGTCACATCGCATTATTTATCATTATTCAGTCGGTTATTTTAATAACACAGAACAAATAAAAATAAATACATAAAAACAATTTATTATAAGTAGTAAAACTTAATAAAAATGTAAGGTGTACATAAAATAGTGTTGGGTTAAAAAACAGAAGTATAGAATAGTTCAGAACACAAGCAACATGTATGAGATAAAGACGGATTCATCGATGAGTTAAAAACTCATTTCAGAATAGATCGATTATTTATACAACATGTAAGCTCAGCATTATTATTATTATTATCATTATTGTTATTACATGGAGGATGAGGAGAGTTCAACATCTCTGATTTGTGCATTGATGTTAAAAAACTAAAAATGGATGGGAAACAAACAACAAATAATGAAGTTAAGGAGAAAAGAAAAGAGCATTTTGTAAGTAGAATATAATGAATTTATAGTATTCTATCGCCTTTTCGTCAACTAGATACAAGTTAAAAACATTATAAAACGTCAAGTTGTAGTTTATTGTTTCAGGAAGATGACTTTCAACCGATGGGTCACGAGTACGAGACCCGCTTCATCTATGGAGGTTTCAATAGCAAGCTAGGTAGTATCACTATGCCTCATACAATAGGTGTAGCTCTTTGCCCATTGCATGAATGTGCACAAAGCTCTGGAGTGTATTTCGATACTACAAAACATCTACAAGTAAAAGTAATCTACACACCTTAATGACTAAAAGAGAGATAGTTCATTTTGTTCATCGAAATTATCTTCCTTGAAAGTGTCCAAGACAACCTGGGTATTCAAAGAGATGATAGTCACTACACTCCAACTTACGTGGCAACCACACTGCTGTTGTTTTTTTCAAAGTGTAAATTCTTCTGATCTTCTCCTTCGTTCTTCATATTATCTTACATTCCGATAACTAACTAACACTAACTTGACTTGATGTGGGATCGTTTTTCAATCTCGCAATCACAGTCTTTCACTGCATTCTTGATTTCTTGCAAGTGATCCACTTTGACTATATGAATACTGAGTAAATGTAGTTATCAATAAATTTAAATTAGTGAAAATGTAACTCACCTACCTACCTGAAGAACAGGTAGGTAGGTCCCTGCCTATACGGCTATAAATCACACCTATTATGTGACGGCTGGTAAGACTACCTGGCTACCTAAAACCTTAGTACTTAAGACTGGAATCAAACACACTGGTTGAAATTCGAGTGCCTAGACCAATGACACCGTCAAATAAATACATTTCAAGTTGTTATTCATCGTAGACTGACATCAGTTGGAGAAACAAAGGAAACCTGGGAGCACTGGATAGCTGTTTCGTCCTAATATAGGACTCCTCGGCAGTGCGCACCCACGAACCTGCCCTCCCCGGATCTAACCCGTGACCTTCAGGTACCGCGGCCAGCGCACTACCATTGAGCCACTGGGTCAGAATCCAATCGTCCATATTTCCAACTTCTGTTAGCTCACGACTGATGTCAGTCAACGAATAATAATAACTTGAAATATTTCCAAATCCCCACAACTCCCTGAAAATTTAATTGAACTGGCGCTCATTGGTGACTAGCTTCGATAGGTATTCCCAAAGTTCCAATGAGAAATTGTGACCGGTTGGGGCAAAGCCTGATGGCCGTGAGGACAGTTACTCAACGATGACATTGGGTGGCGGTTGCGCTATATCGTGAGCTAACAGATGTTGGAAATTTGGACGACTGGATTCTGACACAGTGGCTAGCTCAATGGTAACGTGCTGGCCACAGGACCTGAAGGTCGCGGGTTCTATCCGGGGAGGGCGGGTTCGTGGGTGCGCACTGCCGAGGAGTCCCATACTAAGACGAAACAGCTGCCCAGTGTTCCCAGGTTTCCTCTGTTCCGCCAACTGATGTCAGTCTACGATGAATAACAACTTGAAATATTTCCAAATCCCCACAACTCCCTCAAAATTCAAATGGATATATATAAAGTGTTCGTTGATGAAAACAAGTTCATAATGAGAAGTAAGCAACCACCTGTGTACATCAGCAGCTTTATCAGAAATCAACTCTATATGATTTCAATTTCAGTGAGAAGCAAAATTGCTTTGAACAAAGACAACCACACCAAGTTACACATCGTACTATACGATAAAGTTAAACCACCTAAGTAAACATTTCAATCTTGTATGTTATACATATTATTATGAAAACAATTAATACATTAGTCTGAATTTTGTCTTGATTTTTGTTTGAATAAATCTGCACTATGAGTATGCAGGTACAGGGATGTCGATGATTATGAACTGATATAAGTACATCAAGGTGAATATAGAAGTAAAACTTGAGCAATATAGTAGATTTTGATTCCATTTCAATCTGTTTATTAGAAATATAACGCATATACACAGACTTTATTGTACATATTCATATCAAATAACTCCGCAACTCTAAGACAAAGTTTACATAGTCGTATTTCTCCCTCCTTCTCATTCATCATAACGGTAGTAGAATTTTCCATATATCTGGAACACGTGCACAATCATTCCTGTTCAGTGTAGCTAGTGTCCATTCGATAAACAAAGATTTGGTTATCAATATCTCCTCCCACCCACAACTCCTACTCACTTAGTTACTAACACTGTCACTCTATCCCACCTCAGTGTGTCACTGATTGTCTGCAATCGACCTCAGAGCTACAGTCACAACAGCTGTTCTCCAAATTACTCATTACCATCTACTAATGCTGATTTAGAAAAGCTTTTGTGCTCCCTTATTCTAATCCACCCTGGTCCACACTACTTTCACTCACCTATATATTAGACCTCGCAATCATTACAAGGGACTTCGTAAATCACATCATTCCGCTTAATTGCATTATTAGCATCCTTCAACCTACAAAACATGTTTCTAAGGGAGTTTGTTGGTTTGAATGTCACTTTAATCTAAGCCAGTCTGATTGAGAATTCTTCGTAATGGCTTCTCACCTACCTTACTTCAATGTTAGCATAGTAGAGGTGTTGAATTCTCTCTCAAATCCGTCACCATTATTACTATTAGTAGTAGAACACCTGTGTTATGACTATTACTATCACTACAACTGCTCATATTCTTCCTTCGATTTATTTATGAATTTACTCACAAATTTAGATGCTTAATTATTCAGATACTTAAGGTATTCTTCATGTGTCTAATTTCTTATCGTAGATTTCCTGGCCTACTAGTCAGCTTTTTTACCCTCCAAGCCTACTTTAACTGAGATGGAGTAGGAGGATTTGAAGTTTATATGACGATTTGAACGGGGAGACTTCCTATAGACGATACTGGTCTCCGAACTTCCGTCTTGCCCCATATCTGGACTACCATCCTCGTCATCAGAATGAAGGAGAGGAAATGAGGACTATATAAACTCTGTCTCAATTTGTGGAGTTACTTGATATGAAGATGGACAATAATTTGTGTACGAAACGTTGTTATTCAGCAAAAATAATACTGTACCTTCACTGTGTGTGATATCTCCAATAGACGGACTGAAATGGAATTACATGACGGTGACATACTCTTTACATAGTGATACTAACAGCCTACAATCAACCATCAACTCTACACCTTCAATCTCCGATAGTGAAATGATAATCAATATGATTCCATCCCCTCTCTAATTCAGTTAGATTTCGATTGTGATGAGAATTCTTGACTAGGCCGCCAATGTGAGTACGATCAGGTGGTAGTAACGCATCATGAATTCACATGGTAGTCGGACAAAACCTCACCTTATGATTGAAGTGAAATAAAAATCTGGTGAGCAGTCGAACCACCTAGTTCAGTTGGTAGAGTATCAGGCCGGAAACTCAGTGATTGCTGGTTTGAATCCGACCACCGCGTTCCAAATTTTCATCTCACCTTCAATCATCACCCAGTTTTGCTAGAAATTAAACAGTATGAATTTAAAAATATGATGTAAAACAAAAAAAAAGAGACATACCTTCCTGCAGAAGCACGAATACTATCACGTTCATTTGAAGTGAAATCAGAATATGAATTTAATAGATGGTCAGTTGGAGAACGATACGCTTCCAATGTCTTACTGTGAGATTTACATGAAGTTTTCCAGCAACTACATGAAGGGGAGTAGGTCAAATTGTTCGATATGTGACCAGACTGTGGTGTATCATTCAAACTTACATTTGCTAGACACCGTTGAATATGTCTAAGATTTGCGTCTACATCTACACAATGATGTTCAGTATTATTTCCCATTGAAACAGAACACTGACATTTAATGTCAGAATGATTTAGAGGTGATTGGTGATTATTAGTGCTTGAGTCAAGATGCTTTAAGACATGATGAAGTTGGACATCAATCGATGCCAAAGAGGTAGCTAAATCTTGTGAAGTTGTAATGTTATCATGAAAAAGATTAATTCCTGGACTTCTCAACTGATAACGTGGAAATGGAGAACGAGGAACTGATAGAGAACGCTTTACACGTGAAATATTAGGATAACAATAAGAAAGAGATGAAGTCATTCTACCACCTTCATAATCTCCTTCTGAATTAATTATCGAAGTGGTTACTTTCGAATCTTGAGGAGTAGACAAAGGCAGATTTCCATTGGTTGGACTTGTAGGCAATATTGACTTGCTCCCTTTTTCTATATATTCTGTAGAATCACGTGTTTTACAAGCTGATAAGATATCTGAACAGAGATCCAAGTTAGTTTGTTGTTGAAGGGCTGATAAACTTGTATCCAAATTATCTAAACGCCGTTTATACGTTTTGTAAAGTAACTGAAATATAGCAGAATGTAGAATTTAGCAATTAATTGTCTTATGTTTAAACAAAGACAGATGACAGAGGATAAACGAGGAAATTATATAATGATCTTATAACCAGTTCGAATCCGGCAGCGGTCCAAATTTTAATTTCACCTTCAATTATCATCATCCAGTAGAAATACTAGTCAGCCAAACTAAAGCTACCCCTTTAGATAGTGAAATGATTATAACTAAATGTAACTGTTATTCACCTTGATGATTTACAGTGGAGTCCAAAAAGCGCGTTTCATTCTAAGTGTGACTCATCAGCTGGATGTAAGTGCACTCCATTGAATGCAGTTTTACCCTGTAACTATCGCTCCAAACGAGAAAGCTTTATCCACTAGGCTACTGGGGTACAAGAGTCACCTCTTATGGAATGTGTCGAAAAAATAACCTGCCAAACAAACAGAACCAAAAAGAATGAGTTTAAACATGACCTAGGGGTCAAAACCCAAGTCTCTACGCTAAAAAACTCAACAGAAATAACTTCGTACTGGTGTAAAGGCAACTTAAGTGTGTGTGTGTGTGTGTGTGTGTGTCATATGCAGATTTCACAGTATTACTAAACTAGTGGTCAATTTGGCTACTTAAGTAAAATCAAGACTTTGCTACGATTGACTACTAATTACACTACAGACAATGAAACCAATAGATCAAACATTAAGCTCAATCTATTTATGAAAGAACAATAATCCATTAAGAGACAGTCACTTATATACAAAACTACGATGAAAGTGAGATAGTTATAACGTGACCACAAGTGACAGGCATGTTAGCAACCAAACAATAAAATATCCACCAACAAAACTAAGGTCATACATGTATCTATCTACTTTACAAAAGCCAGTGGACAGTCAACTTAAGTTACGAAAGTTTAACTTGAAGAAACCGTGATTGAATTGGGATATTTTGATTGTAAAAAACAAAAGTTGTAATTGCATACTATACGGTAAAAAGCTCAATTTCTAATGGATATCGTAAGGGGATGTAGCAGTTGTTGTTTCGAGTACTAGATTTTTAAAAAAGAGTGTAGTTTCTCATATAACAATTTATCCCATAACTTGTGACAATCGACAAGCGTTGCAATAGAGGATTAAATCTTCATGAATGCCTGTTGGTTCGTTATTAGACTAGAAGACTGATATAGACAGTAACAAACAAATAGCTAAGATGACGGTAAAATTTTGTCATTTGTTTATACCTGCATGAACTACACTTCAAAGCAAAACAGTCGCCTTTCTTATGGAATAAGCTTGTATTTTCCGAGACTATATACCTATTTGTAAGAGTTACCTAAATATTCAACAAATGTTTCTAGTTGTGTGATATATTACAACAATTACTCCCTGAAGCGGTTACATGGTTTCCATCACAGTTGTCATAGAAGCATTGCTCGCGTTTGGTGGAAAAATCACGTGAGCAATGTTGAGGTTAGACAAGACAAGCCAATCGATTGATATGGTAGTAAAACTCAGAAGCTAAATTAGGTTGAAAAGAGGTTCAGTATAACCAGACCAAGACGTGGCACTAGTCTATAAAGTCCTTGTCTGTTGGTCTCAGTGGTATGGGAAAATGTAGACTAGCTGTCTCGTTAGGGTCCTCGAGATGATAAGAGTCACTGGTGGTTGAGTTGAGGACTCTCTTGACATGGTTGAAAATCGGAGAAAATGGCGCAGATGTTTTCACTCTCTGACATCTTCTAAAGCTTGAATATTTGTACAAACCCTTATCCTCAAATTGTTGATTCTCTCATACAAGTTTGTATACTTTTGTGTAATATGAGAACTTGAACCAACGTACTTGTATGAGGGGTTCTACGTTGATTTTGTTTGTCCTTTCCTATCCACTAGATTTCTACACTAAAAAAGATTGAGTTTCCTTAACAATAATCTCTGACAAAATCAATTTACGACATGGTGTCGAATAATTATCACCTAGGTACATATTGTAACTAATGTGTGCATACGGAAATGTTGATGATTATGCTCAATGAAGACACAAACCTTTCAGAACGCACAAAACTCAAATGTTCAAGTCTGGTGGAACTCATCAACCTTTGTCTGACAACATACTTCCAATTCAACGACAAGATATACAAACAGATGAAATGAACTTCAATGGGATCATGGATATTCGGACTAATTGCAGAAGCAGAGATGCACAGACTGAAAGCTATCGTCTTATCTGTGATCAAACCAAAATTCTGGATTCGCTATGTGGACAATACTTTGTCATCATTAAAAAAGATGATATAGAAAACACTCACAGTTTGATCAACAACGTTTTCAGTGACATCAAATTCACAATAGAGAAAGAGTCAAACAACCAACTACCATTCCTGCATGTTTTAGTCACTAGGACAAATACTGGGAAGCTGGAAACCCAGGTGTACAGGAAGCCAACACACACTGACCAAATCCTCAACTACAATAGCAACAACACAACAACGCACTAAATCAGTTGCGTGCAGACTTTATTCAAAGAGAGAGAACAAACTACAGCATAACAACTTCACGGAGAAACCAAAGAAATTACTTGATGTCGATCCTAAAGAAGAACAGCTACCCACTAAACCTTATCAGCAGATGCCTATCCCGTACATCATCAAATACAGAGTCATCGACAGAAATCAACAAACGCATTGTCCTACCATACATAGAGAATATATAAGAAATCACGACAAGATTACTGAGACCATTTGGAACTCGTGTGGATCATAAACCAACAAATTCCCTCCAAACACTATTATGCACATCAAAGGATGCAATAACCAAAGAAGACAAACCGAACATTCACAAAATCAACTGCAATCACTGTAGTCAACACTGCATTAGACAGAGAGTGGTTGCCCACCTAAGTCTTCGTCTACATGAACATCAATCGGCTATCAAACGTCACACACACGACATTTCATCACTCATTCTGATAATAACGTGAACATGAATTGAATTTTGACAATGTGGAAATGTTGGATGGAGAGAGGAGACACAAAGAATATCAAAGAATTTTAGAAGCTGGGGATTCACGTCAGTCAGTCAATCAGCAATCAACAGATGTATGGACACAGATCCAATCTATCAACCAATGAGGAAAATGATAAACGACAGGAAGGTGAGAGATCAAGCAGAGGAATAGTGAAAAGGAAAACCTACGCAACCAGTGAATGACACAACAGTCAGAAGAAACAAAGAGTCACATGCCACATCGTCAGAGCAAGCCACTAAATCACTAGTGGGAAGATATTGACAGCTCGCTTCCTACTGAAGTTAGTGCTGTGGATGTTGTCCAGCAAGATGATGAAAGCTCCACGATTAAACAACCCAGTTCAGAGAACACAATACAACCAAGACCATCCACCTGATCTACAAATATTCCCCACTATTTCAAATATAGATAACTGTTAAGATTTTTTATATACACTCAACAAAATGGCACACTTCAGTTGCGCTTCAGTACTTAACAACACCTTTCTGAAAATATCACTGTTGTCAAACTGGCTATGGTACAGTTGAGTATCAAAACGAATTATTTATCTTACCTTAAAACATGATGAATGACTGGAAGTTATCGAAATTACCACCAACTTCAGATTCCAGAAAGTTTCTGTTTGTAAACACTGGGTTCTCATGCACTCGATATAGTTAGCTTACATGCACCTACCAGTTCATTAAAGACGATGGGACATGAAAATCATTGGTATCTGAAACCATAGTGACAAAAGACGGGATCATGAGTTGATAGTACAACTATCACTAACCTTTTCACTGGGGGGGGGGGGGCATGTACATTCAGATGACGTGTCCCAAATAGGATAAAACACGCGTTCTAGATTCTTCTGATAGCCAACACCAAGGAAATTATTACCTAAAACACTTATGAAGGCGGTTTGGTTGTCATATTCTACTAAAAACCTTTCATTACAACCCTTTTAGTCAATCATTATTGAACAGTGGGAATCAACTCAAGAACTATCTAATGGTTAGTTTATCAGCAGCAAGTAGACTTTACTAACCACGGAGATAATTAATCTTGATGGAAGAGAAGAAATCATACACCGACTAGTCTAAGACATCTCAATGTCAATGTAAAGCCTATTCTTCAGTGAGTTAAAGCACTAACTACTCGGTATTCTTTTAAAAATCTACATATACTTAGTAACCATATGCAGGTTTATGCAGTAGGCTATGAGTCACATCTGTTGTATGACGTTGGAAGTCAACTACATAAACCAATGGCGTCACAACTTGACTAAAAGGTATGTGGGGGATAGAATACTAACAAAATATAAAGTGTATCCATTTGATTTAGGTAGGAAGAAGGATAATTATTATGCCAGCTTACCTTAAGACGAAACAGCTTACTCTGTATACGAGAACGTTCTTCAATTAAATGACTTATGCATTCTGATAAACCAATAACATTTCTCTTAGATTTTATATTCCTCTGATTTACTTGATTGCCATCAGTCACTTTTCCATTATTCCCATTTGGGATAGAATGTTGTGTAGTCCAGGGACTGTAGTCTCTAATTTGTTATTATCAGATGATGTGTTTAGAGTATTTGGTTTTCTGTTTGAAAAATCAATTGTTAGATGATTTTTTATTTCAGATGGTGATAAACCAACTTGAGGACATGGAATATCTTCAAATTTATCATCAAATTTCTTAGTTGGACTTGTAAGTATTTCATGCATTTTACAGAATGTATACTCTTTATCATCAGTAGTATCCAAAAGATTGGATGAAGATAAACATTTATATATTTCTGTAGATGGCTGTTGTGTTAAATGATTGTACTTAGTTGAAGAATATGGTATTGCATCACTAAATACTTCTGATGTCTTTCTTTTATTGGTCAGTAAAGATTTTCTAACTTTGCTTTGTAATACAGTAAGATTTTTATCAGCTTTACGTAAATTTTCAGTGTAAATTTTTGACCAGGCTTTGAAATTTTTTGATGAAGACAGATGATCTGCTTGTGAAGTGATTTGAAGTTTTTTTATATCAGAATTAAATAATTTAAGAGATCTACCACTAGACGGCTTTAATTCATGATATTCAGTAGGATCATCTATAACCAAAGGTTCATTATTGCTTTCAACAATTGTATTTTGATGTTCAGTGTCAGGTTTATCAGTGGATAACTGATGGTTATTTTTTCATTTGTTGAAAGTATCTTGGATATATTCTCATTTGTCTTTGTTTCCGATTGTTTATAACCATTAAATAAATATGAAGAATCTAAAAAAAAATGAATAAATTATGAATAAATAACTGAAAAAGAATCTATCCTTTTAGAACACTTCATCCAAGTTTAGTTGAACACTGGACATGGTTCATCACAAAGAGAAACACCAATTGTCATGTTTACCACTGCAGACAATAGACGGACAAAATCAGTGTAGAACCTCGTATACAACTGCATCACGGTAGGCTGCTCCTACACAAACAAACGATGAAGTGAACACACTCAGCTACCTTTTGCACGTCCGTACAGTAGAAAATAAGCCACACTCACTGTGTAAGGGCTGGTGATACTACCTGGCTGCTCAAACCTCGTTAGGTAAGCGGGGTTCGAACAAGTGACAGTGGTTGGCAGTCACCTCTTTAAATCACTGAGCCACAGCTCAACGTTGCCACACTATACACAAGTATACAAAGAACAAATGAAGAGAAAAGGAGTGATATCAAAGTACGCAAACTTTTATGAGAGAATAAACAATTTGAGGATAAGGGTTTGTACAAATATTCAAGCTTTAGAAGATGTCAGAGAGTGGAAACATCTGCGCCGTTTACTCCGATTTTCAGCCATGTCAAGAGAGTCCTCAACTCAACCACCAGTGACTCTTATCATCTCGAGGACCCTAACGAGACAGCTAGTCTACATTTTCCCATACCACTGAGACCAACAGACAAGGACTTTATAGACTAGTGCCACGTCTTGGTCTGGTCACCTAATTCAACTTTCCCTAGCATGGCTAATCGAGGTAGGCAGTGGGGTCCTCATGGGCAATTCATCTCCAAGCCATATTAGTCGACTGAGGATTACGAGCACCCCAATCGACTTGCCAGTTTTGCCTAGTAACCGCCTGACCTCAACATTGCTCACACGGTGATTCCAACAAAAGCGAGCAATGCAGCGAAGACACACCTATAACAATCAACAACCACTTTGTGTCTTTTACTCTTAAAAGCGATGCCTCACAGCCATATAACAAGGCAGAACGGACTACTGCTGCGCAGTATACTGGTACTTCAAAAGATAGTCGGATATCTCACCAGTTGGCGTCACAGATGACGCAAGTTGAAAAATGTCAAAGGCGACTTCTGTATCCCAGCTGAGATATCGCAAGTAACCTACCCCGCTCGGGCTGATGCAACTCCCAGGTAAGTGGAGAGGTCCATTTATCCCACCACTCCACTTCCTATCACTAAACTGGATGTAGTTACAGACCAATCCTGCAGCATCATCTTGCATCTGACAGGTACCAACGAAACGCAAGCCAAACATATTCAGATTTCTGCTCAACGCAAGACGCTGCATTGTACCAGCGTTTTCACCTAGCCTAAAAATGCACTGTCGTCTCCATACTCCAAGTCAACCACCACCACCAAGAAGTAGATCAATTCTAGTAGGGTCAGGAGTACCTGGGTTAATGTCAATTACCACGTATGTAGTAAAGTTAAGTGGGAATGATGACAGTAGGCATCCTTGGCCCTCACCAATAGTTGCCACCACTTTTGATGACAACCCTCCAAAAGCCCTTACACTGCTGTATGAGTTCGAGTAGATAGCTCGGATAAGTATTACATGCTTGCTCAGTACTCACTTCACAGTTAGACACTGCTGAAACACCTCATGATAGACAGACAAATGCTGCTTTCAGGTCAAGAAATATACTAATTGTCGGCCATTAGCTGGCAGGTATACCTGTGTTCCAGAACTTGTAGGTGAGTGAAAATATGATCGATGCACCCTCGTTCAGGTCTGAAACCTGTTGGTTTTATTGAGCCCCAGTTAGGCATTGGATAATTATGGATTATGAAGACAGGAGTAAGACAAGGCTGTCTACTATCACCTATGACCTTCCTGATTGTGGTCGACTGGATCATACAGCAAACAGTGAGGAGCGAGAAGAGGAAGATACGCTAGGACGGGGAAAGATACTAGAAGATTTGAATTTCGACGATGACTTGTGTCCAATGTCGCACAATCTTAAAGATCTACAGGCAAAATCCAACAAGTTGACAGAAGACGCAGCGCAGCGAAGACTGGATTTCAAGTGAACGTAGAGAAGACAGAGGTGATGAAGATACCCAATCAACACCATCACCAACAATAAACTCCAGGCACCATCAACGGGAGAAACTTAAAGGAAGTAGCCTTTTTCACCTATCTAGGCAGCATCGTTTCAACTACAGGCGGCACAGACGAGGAGGTCAAATTCAGCCAGCATCGGAAACACAGCAAGACAGGCGTTCATTAACCTGAAACCAGTGTCGAGATCTTCTGCACTCAGCATAAAGCGTCAACAACATCCGGATTTTCAACACTAATATCAGTCAAGTCAGTGATTCTATATGGTTCAGAGACTTGGTGCGTTACGAAAAGCATTTCCGATAAACTACAGATATACATCAACAACTGCTCCCTACACTCGTTACTGAAGCTCAGATCAGATGGCCAGAAAGAATAAGCAACAAGCAACTCTGGCAACCAACCAGCCAACCAAGAAGCTATCACCTAACAAATATGCAGAAGAGGAAAGCAGAGATGGATTGGGCAAACACTGAGAAGACCATTTGGAGACATCACGCATCAGGCCAAGTAGTCGAGTGGAACCCAGATGGGAAACGAGTTGGGCGTCCGAGGAAGATCATGTGAGGAAGAAATGAGAGCTACTGGGCTGTCGTGGAGCTAGGTTCAAAAGATTGCAGAGAACAGAGTGGAATGGAGACGTGCTACTGAAACCCTATGTTCCACTAGCAACCCAAGGGACAAACAATAAAATCATATAATAAATTAACTGGCATTTATGCAAATCTAAGTGCAGGTTTTCAACTTTACTATGCTGGAATAATATTTCCATTACGATTATTGAAATTTATTTGATAGTTTTTCTCACTGATTTATATTATAAATTAGTTAAAGAATAAAAAATCTAGATAACAATAAAATCACACCAATAACACTTACTCTTATATGAGCTTGTTCGACTTCTTGCAAAATTTTCAGGCATCTGTTTATTGATTACATTTTTTCTCAAGTCAGAGAGTAATACAGTACTTGAAATCAGACAGTTCTCAGAGGATTCATTATCAAAATCTTTCGCAGAATTAACTTTATCAACTATATGCTGATTTCGTTGGCGTGCTTTTATGACACAATCTCGAAAATATTTATCCAGTGGATGCTCCCATAAACTTATCCCAGATTTACTGTCATAATAAAATATTTGATTATTTTCATCCTAAAAAAATATTGAACAATAATGATATTTGACAAATATTATTTGAAGCCTGCAAATAGACTATCCAGATAGTGTTTAATATGCATTTTTTAAAAATTAAATTTCATTTCATAATATGTCAATATACAGGAAAAACAGTAAAACTGAATGACTGTTTATTGATTGGTCACGGGAGTGCAACCAATTTCATGTTGTCTAGTCCTGAGTGTAGACCGAATTGCACTCCCGCGACCAATCAATACATGTAAGCCAGTCCTACAGGAGGTCAATCACGGTCCAAATAGCTGTGGTAAAGTTACTGACTACAATACTGGGTGGCGCGGGTTTGAATATCAGGCAGGACATCAGTTCTGTCGAAGTTGCAGATACGTCTTGCTGACAAGTGTCAAAGAGCACAAAACCTAGGTCCAGGGCTCCCTGCCGACTGCCTCCAACCAACTAACACACGCTATGTTTGGCAAAATGAAGATAATGTGTTTCTACGATAAAAATATTTGTTCACCCACAATTTCAACACCATAGTAGCTCGCATATGTTAATATGTTATACAACACAGATAGACAAACGGTATCAGCATAGAACCTGACAGTATTGTGTAATAGCCTAAGTTGCTACACTTTATCACATCAAACGAGAACCCATCAAGATGAAAGATGGAGAAAAATAAAGAAGATAGTCGAAAGTGACAGAGTCATTAAAAGAAAGGAACAATAGAATATTGAAATTCAGTAAGACGATTAAGAAGATAATGTGTGAATACATCTGAACCACACTGTGATGAGACATACGGTAACTAGACATGTGTAACAAATGCCCAAGCCATAAGAGTCAATTAAGATAAACATCCTCTATCTTTCCACAACTCTACACCTGACTTTTACGTTTCTGACGTGGTGACACTACGGCAAGACCTATGCTAAGGCAACCGTGGTCGAAGTGAAACCTCATATCCTTCCCCTTCAACAGGTACGTTTCACAGCCATATAGTAGAGTAGGGTGAATTGCAGCTGAGTACTCAGTCGGATATCTCGCTGGCACTACAGATGGCATACGTCGACAAATAACAAACGCGACTTCTGTATCCCAGCTGGGATTTAGTCAACAACCGCCTCATTCGGGTTGATGCAACTCCCCAAGTAAGTAAACTGGTCGATACATCTCATTAAATATCATTAAACTAGGAGTGGTTGCAGACCAGTCCTAGAGCATCATTTTACATTCGACAGGTGACGTTGAAACGCATGCCAAATATATCCGGGTTTCTGTTCAACGCATTCAGAAGATCCTGCATTGCGTCAGCGTCTTTACCTAGCAGGAGAATTTCGTTTATACACTCAAAAGCAACCAGAAGAACTCCACGGGGTAGGTCAATCCCTATGAAGTCAGAAGTATCTAAGGTTATGTCGATTAGTACGTCTGTAACGAAGTTAAATAGGAACGGTGACAGTGAACATCCATGCTGGACACCACCAGTTGTCGTTAATTCACATGGCTGCAACTCTCCATAGGCCCATATACTGCTGTGTGTTGGAGTAGAGAGCTTTGATTAGCATTATATACCTTTCCAATACCCCTTCACAGTTAGACGCTGTCACAACAATTCAGAGTCAACAGTCAAATGCTGCATGTACCTTAGTAGATAGGTAAGGACTGAAGATCATGTTTTGTTGGTTGAGGCCTTAGTATCTAGAACAATCAGTCACAGTTTCATTCAGATGAAAGATGGATGGTATATTATCTGTCAGTGTGTGCAAAGAACTACAAGCAACCTACATAATACAAAAACCTGATGGTAATACCACGCAGTCGTCCGTAAATGCTGTCGGCTGACATAGAACAGTGACCTAAAACCAACGACTTACTAATGAACCCTTACATAGTCAGAATCACTGAATGTTGAGGAGGCATTTCAAAGAATCGGGAAAAGGTCTAAGCGGTCCTTCAGAACCACTAAGTCGAAAATCTTAAGACTCTACTTCCGGTTTTCAGTTACGCAGTTTTCGGATAACATGTGCACAAACTGGTAATCACCTGCATGTTGACTTCAATTACCAAAGCATGCAGTGAGTGCTGATTACCAACAAGCCTTCTGGAAGCTTACACTGTCAAATTATCATAATAAGATACCTAAAGCTCGAATATTCATACTGATCTATATCTTCGGATTGATCGCTCTTTCACACTACTTTATGCACTTTGACATCACTCTTCATACACTTTTACTTAGTGTACTACTGTAAAGTGAGGCAGCTTGAGCCGATGCACTTATGTGCGATGTTCTGCGTTGACCTTGTCAGTCAGTCCGTTAACCACTACTGTCTGGACACATCACCCACACGAAAAGCATACCCAATCGAAATTCCCTCGACATACGTAGAGGAAATACAGACACCACAGTGTAGTAAAGGACCAATGCAAGGCTTCGAAAAAACTTCGTGTTAGGCATCTAGTAGCCGTTCATGGCCCCACCTAATAATTTAACCTCTCAATCTACACAAAAATCCGGTAAATGGGCGCAATTACTAGTTGATATGTATGTCTTAATTGAACAGAAAGGTTGGAAAACCAAATTCTTATAACTGCGTACTTGCTCCTGTCCACTGGAAGAAAAATATGCCACACCATCCTGGAGAGACTAAACAATGCTCTGCATTCAAAATTACAACCGAAACAGGCTGGCTGGCTTCAGGAAAAACGAATCATCAGATTGCAACACCACGCTAAGCACCATCAAAGAACAGAGGATGACAGTCAACTCTCTACCTCAATTTCATCGATTTCGAGAAAGCCTTCGACAGCACCGACCGAGAAGTAAGTTTGGAAACTGCTTCAACAATACGGTTTTAGTGCCACAAACCTTCATCAACCTCATTCAACAGCAGCTATACGACGACGCCACATGCCAAGTCATTCACAACAGGAAGCTCAGTGACGCCTCTGAAGTGAAGACAGGAGTTAGACAGGGTTGCCTACCATCACCGATGATCTTCCTAACTGTGATCGACTGGACTGGATAATGCAACAAACTGTGAGGAGCGAGAAGAGGGGCATACGCTGGCTGCACCGATGAAAAGACCCTAGAAGATTTGGATTTCATCCATGATGATTTACGTCTCATGTTGCACAAACTAGAAGATCTACAGGCAAAAACTAACAAGTTGACAGAAGAGGCAGGGCAGCGAAGACGGAACTTCAGGTGAACGTAGAGAAGACAACCAACAAAAACGAGCATCAATCACCATCAACGGGAGAAACTTAAAGGAAGTTATGTTTTTCCCCTACCTAGGCAGCATCATTTCAACTACAGGCGGCACAGACGATGACATCAAAGCCAGGATGGGAAAGATAGCAAGACAGGCTATCCTTCATTGATTGGAATCAGTGGGATCTACTGCACTCAGCACAAAGAAAGAGATCCAGATTTTCAACACTAATGCCAAGTCAGTGCTTCTATATGGTTCAGAAACTTGGCGCGTCACGAAAAGCACTTCCAACAAACTACAGACATCCATCAACAGCTGCCGCCTACGCTCACTCTATACTGACACCGCAGATGAGATGACCAGAATGAGAATAAGCAACAAGGAAATCCTAACCAACGGAGAACCCCCGCCCAACAAATATGCAGAAGGAAATGGTGATGGGTTGGGCATACATTGAGAAGACCATTCGAGGACATTACGCACCAAGCCCTAAAGTGGAGCCCAAAGCGGAAGGGAGGAGTTGGGAGTCCGAGGGTGGCAGAGAGGAAATCGTTTGAGGAAGAAATGAAAGCTTCTGGATAGTCGTGTAGCCAGGTTGGAGAGACTGCAGAGAACATGGTGCAATGGAGACGTGCTGCTGAAGCCCTATGTTCCACTAGGAACCCAAGGGACAAATAATAATAATAACTGCATAGTACGATTATCCGAGGATAGTTGGCTGAGCCGGCATTCACTGAAGGCGCAAACACTCACTTCTGGACGACCACCGACTTTATTCGTTTATTATGATACATCTTATAACAAAACGTATGTCCTGTTATCAAACATTTCATGACAGAAAGACGCTCGAGTGTAGGAGTCAGGTTAAGGAGAACATGCGAATTATTTTTTCGACGAAATGAATACTTTCTCACAAGATTAAGAAACTCAACATTTTGGAAGAAATGTTCAGCTTTTCTAGGAGACAAAGGCCATTCATAAGTTCCTACTTAAATCTTTAGTTCAATTTTCTATCTTTCTAGCTGCAAATTGATATGTTAACACTGAATTTGAAATATCCAAAACAAATGTGTGAGCTGGAATAAATCATATATAACTCTTATCTTTCGTATGGTAAACAATGTATTAGACCTATTTAGGTATATACCTTGAGGACTTGCCAACCTTTGGGTAGATTTGCTGAAATACCTTCTTTCGCGATATAAAGTAGGTCACGCTCTTTTTCTACATCGATTCCAATGCTTTCAGCATAGAGCATTACTTCCTGCTCAGTGGGTTCTTCCGAACCATTCTCTTGCAATAATACCGCCTCCAACATTTCTAAAATCCCACACTTTGACGAAGTAATTGTACTTGGTGCATTATAAAGTGCAAATTCCAATATTCACTATCCAATAGCTTTGTACAGATGCATCCTGGATTGATTTTGGCAATTTTCATTACATTTAAGATCCGATTTCGCTTTCAAGTAATAAATGAAAGGAGTGGAATCAATATGATCCGACATAGAATATTATAGCTAAACTTTAAACCTAGTGGCGTAGAAACAGCGGACAGCGGTTCCTTGAGTTCTACTTCCGTCTTTATAGAATGTGTCCTACTTTTGCAATGGTCAGTTGTCTTCTCAGATCAAAGAGACCTCAAAGGAAAGAAATAATCAGCTAAGTAATTTATCAGCTAGCCAGAGGTATTTTTGTTATCTACGGTTTATAAGACGGCAGGTGACTTCTTATGCACAGCCATTCTGTACCACGGGACTCAGCGTGCCCATTGAAACATTTTGCACATATCATGCAGGGGTTTCACCCCTTAGGGAAGGGGATTCCATGGTTCATGAACTACAAGTGAGTCAGTCGGGGTCATCTTACATGCTCCCTGATGCTCCAGTGTGAAAGATTAACCACTGAAATGTAGTTTCTGACGAGATCTTGAGGTCAACAAGTTTGGAAGAAGGGCAGCGTGCACCATATTCATAGCCCCTCTGATCCTCCCGCACTGCACCAGATGCAGATCAAGTACAGCTTTGAAAAGGTAGTAGCATCTCTCCTTTCGGTTAACTTCTCAGCATTTTCCAGTCTACACATCAGCGTCTATTGTGTTTTTTCCCGAACCAAAATAATCCCCGAATAAAGTAAGACACAAACTTTTGGGATGAATTTCCTATGGTTACTCATCCACTCTACCGAATTACTTTCCCAGTACACTCAGTTTTGTGATGCATTTTGCGGGGGCTCCTCATGGTTTTCGTCATCCCAGTTACATATCACCTGCTTTCATCAAGTTTATTTAAGCGTTCGTGAGATAATATGCCGGAAGTGTTGCTAAAATGCCTGTGGTGAACCGGCAAATCACACCGCAGTGGCCTCTGGTATGCTGCATTCCGAATGTAAAAGTTGGTACTACAACAATTCCACAGTCCTTGCGTCTGCATCATGCAAAGAGTACTGATACTAAGACAGTGACTGACCTGGCCTGTTGTGTTGCGCAGGTATTCGTGGTTTAGTTGAAGGAGTAAAAGCACTTATAAATGCCATCATGAAGAACTTAGCATCCGAAAACGTCAACAGTTATGACAGCGATGACTACACAGTATTTGTTGACACATAAGTCGTTGTGCAGAAGCTTGATGATGTCACACGGTGAAACCGAAAGCAGGGTGTGTAGAATACCTACGAGTTTCTTTTGATAGCTATTTAGGAAGAGTCACACAGATGAAGCGGACATATTCAGGTTCTCGCACCCACACAACGAGCAAAATCAGCCGGCCGTAAGTTCAGGACAGCTTCCGAAGAAAGGGACAGGGGTGGAACACTGTCAGTTCCAACTAAGGAAGCTTGCGAGTTAGAGGTTCAAGGGAGTCCAGAGACTTATAAGCGGGCCACAGTTCTAAAGGCAACTGTCAGTTTCCCACAGAGCCAATACAAATTAGAACTTGAAACAATTAGTCCCTTTTATGAACTTGTGTAATGTAATTAGAAGACGTAGATTATCTGAAAAATGTGATGTATTAGCAATTTACATTTCGAACAATCTGATCACACATTTACTTGTTAAGGCATCATATATGAAAACTGGAAGTGAGGGGAAGGATACATATGACATAAAGGAATTCAATGATAAGAAAGATAATGAGAGGAATAAAAGATAAGACTTGAAGACAACCTTGGTAATACGATAAAATAAGCATTACCAAGGTAGGCTTAATGTAAGGACAAACTGTTTTTGCACACACAATGGGGGGTTAAATTCATTTATGGCTAGCGCCTCAAAAAACTTAAGTATAAGCCCCTGACAGTTTCTGTACAAAATTGTAAAGGCTGTTTTGATATCAATTCTGTGACTCTTATCAATGATATGTTTCGCAGTGGATGATAATAATTGTCTACCATCTGTGCCTATCAGTGTTTGTGAATCCAGCTGCTTTAGTAGCCACTTTGGAACATGTTCCGCTACCCTCAAGTGCATATCAAGATTCGTCCACACACACATGTAAATTTATAAATGCAGTGGGATGTGACGCAATCGTTCATACAGCGTTGAGGTCTAGGTAGCAGCAGGTGTTTGGTCTTCTCAACTATGATAAGCTTAGCTGCATAGTACGTTTTGCTAACAGCAGACCCTAACCTTCGTTTTAAAATTGTGCTATTAGATTCTCCTCTGTATGGTAACGCGATGTAAAAGCATTTCTTCGAAATAGAATGCAGATCAGGTTTGAATCCTCGGTGATTTTTGCAGCGGTTTATGAACTTCAATGGATATCCATAAATGAATTTAACCCCCCATTGTGTGTGCAAAAACAGTTTGTCCTTACATTAAGCCTACCTTGGTAATGCTTATTTTATCGTATTACCAAGGTTGTCTTCAAGTCTTATCTTTTATTCCTCTCATTATCTTTCTTATCATTGAATTCCTTTATGTCATATGTATCCTTCCCCTCACTTCCAGTTTTCATATATGATGCCTTAACAAGTAAATGTGTGATCAGATTGTTCGAAATGTAAATTGCTAATACATCACATTTTTCAGATAATCTACGTCTTCTAATTACAATACACAAATTAGAACCCCGCAAAATGTCCGTGACCTTTCACAGAGTGGAGGGAAGAAAGGACCCAGAACCATTTAAACTTTTTCAATATGACCTCGGTGAGGTACGAGTTCTGGTAGACAAGCCGCTACCGGGAGATATGCCAGGGACCAACCTACTCAGGGCATACTAAATTGGCAAAACAGGAGGCACTTTCTGCTAAATGTAGACTTTGGTTACCTAAAGTCCCGTCCAGGCCAACATGGAGGAGGGGTTCCATTTTGAGGAAGGCTCATCAACCTCAGGGAGACGGAGTGTTCCCGAGTCAGAATTTATCCCTGGTTGGCTGAGCCAAAGAGCGAGAAGTAGAACATAAATCCCGTTTATCAACAGGAGAAGAAGGCCTGAAGTGGTTAGTTTTCTTGTCGCCGATCTGTATACACGATGATAAGACAACTTAAGCGACTTTTATGGTACTGTATGCAGACGAATTCCGTTTCTTAGACAAATGAACGCAGCTAAGTAGTTTATTAAACAAAGAAAGCCTTGGCACCACCACACTCTCAGAAATTTGACTCTCTTATGGGTCAGTAATAGTGAAGCGCATTTACGGCGGTTCTTTCTTTCTCGAGTCGATGAATCAGCACATAGACGTGGCGGTATCACCCTCCATGTAGAGATCACCTCGAATGTAAGCAGCATTCGAATGGTCGCACATTAAAAAGTGGGGAACCACTGACTAAAGTGTACGCGACGAGACATTAACCCGGTCTCGGTATACGGAAGCTCATGATTCGGACAGGAATACTTCTTTTTGCATAGGCTGAGTCAGCTGGCAGTTAATTGTGAATACACAGTTTCGGGAGATTTTATCTCGCCATCACTTGATTATTATACCCTATCAACAGAAGCACCACGTAACTCGTTGGGTCATAGTTTGATGGAAATATGGACTTCGTTTCGTTCTTGCGCAGGACATCAAGGAGTAACCCGATGCTAACACCAGCATACTCCATCAGCTTGATATTCTCTCGCACAAATGACATATCCAACTTGTACCTCGGGGTAAAAGTGACCATACTGAAATCATCTTCAGATTCGCAGTAGCCGTCTTGTGTCGAGCTGATAAGCCAGTTTATAGAGCAAACACAGTAGCTGTTAACCTGGCAGCCTCTTCGAATGGCAGCCAAACTGCGAGCTCTGGATGAAACCGTAGGCTGCTCTTTCAAGCAGTTATGTGCACGGTTCAACAGATCGTGCCACAGGGCGAAAACGCATCCCTGAGTGAGTAAAGTGCAAAGTCCGGATTTTTCTATGGTGCAAGAAAAATTATCGACCATGTTGCTCACCTTTATACTGCCGCGAGATAGAAGCATTGCAACGAAGGCTGAAATAAACTTATCACTAATGTTCACCAGTCCAGAACATGCTTTGAAACATAACTCCACCAGGCCACGGTGCAGTATCCGAAGAGGTGGATTTCTTACACGAACCACGGGAGTAGGACTTATCGTGGTGCACGCACTAGTCAGAAAGACGGAGACGAACCATTTAGTTGAAGCCCATAGGGACAAAGCAGAGGCAGCAATCAGATATTTTGCTGGTGTCCTTACCCAGAAACCCTGGGTGGATGCTAATTCGGTGGTAGAAGCATTAATTTCCGAAGGAGCAAACTATGTGAGCTTCGGCGGCGACGACGCATTGGGGACACTGAGTGCTCTGAATACAGAAGCATCAACAGGGACAGATGAGCTACAACCAACGTCGCTCAGAGAGCTTGCACTCTACGTAACTGGCATATTGATTACTAGATTTAATGCCCTAGAGTCAAGACACACTACTGTATGACTGGAATGATGCCATGGCCCCGCCTATCCAGAAGGTAGGATCTAGGCGGCACACATCAAGTAACAGTGATAAGGTTGACTAGTACTGTAGTTGAAATCCTATAAACATCTACCAAGGAAACCAGTGCGGTTCACTTGGAAGACAATATTCTGTTGTCTCGTTTGGGGTATGGCTTTCTCAAACGTTTCTCTTACTTGACGAACCGTCTCACAGTCAAAGAAAGATAGACCAAATGTGATGATACGATACACTTGTAACTAATTTTCATAGACTTCAGCAATGCGTTCGACTTGGTGCCTCATTCCAAGTTGCTCGTGAAGATGAAAGACTTTGGGATCGCTGGCAATCTATTTGCCTGGATCAAAAAACGTCTGGTTTATGAAAAATAAAGCAGAATGATTAACTCTCAGCTCTCCTCTGGGAAGTCGGTCGAAGCTTGAGTG